TACTTTATGTATTTTTAAAACTTGACAGGATACTTACTCTTTGCCTGCCTCTGAATAAAATATGTACTATTTTGTGATGTAAATACATAATACTAGACAGCTAATTTGAATTAAAAACAATGTGTACAAGTTTAAACAGCTTTTTTAATGAAATAATTTTATTACACATGATTCTAGATTTCAGGAATAGTCACTTACATTATTTTGCTTTATTAGTTTTAGATCTTGCTGCATTTTTTCAAAAGACATGAAATGATTATTGATACAGAGAAAACCCTACCCACATCCCTCCCTTTTCTTCTTCTCTGATAACCACTACTGAATTTCGTGTGGGTCTTTCCCTGGCACCCATTCGAAAGCAATGATACAGGAGTTAAGAAGAAATTACTTAGGCAGATAATGAGGTTACGGGAATCCTCCCTAAGGGTTTCCTGTTAATGAAAGCAGCCCTAAATCATTTTCTTTTCTAACAGAGAACAGGCTGTAAAACCGAGCTGCAGACATAGACAAACAAGCCAGAAGCTTGTACAGGCGGATGCCGGCGGTTGTGCCAGTAGGAAAAGGCTAGGTGGGAATAGACATGTTCAAAATGGTGGCTCCATCTTCTCTTTTCTGCCAGCCACGTGTACAGTAAGGAGCAGGCATGATGGCGCTGGCCAAGCAGAAAGTCCATTTGCCTATTAAGATTAGGGTGGGGCGGCTGGGCGCAGTGGCTCACGCCTGTAATCCCAGCACTTTGGGACGCCGAGGTGGGCGGATCACCTGAGGTCAGGAGTTCGAGACCAGCCTGGCCAACATGGTGAAACCCAGTTTTTACCAAAAATACAAAAATTAGCCTGGCGTGGTGGCATGCCCCGTAATCCCAGCTACTGGGGAGGCTGAGGCAGGAGAGTTGCTTGAACTGGGGAGGAGAAGGTTGCAGTGAGCTTAGATCATGCCATTGCGCTCCAGCCATGAACAACAAGGGTGAAATTCCATCTGAAAAAAAAGATTAGGGTGGGACAACCAGCCTTCCCTGCCTACCATGTAAAAGTCACACTTGATGGAACCAGTCTGTGGGCCCTCCATATATCAGCCACCGCCTCCTCAAGCCTGCCTGTAAAATCTGGCACAGTCTACCACAGGCTGGCTTTTCTCTTTGGGACACCTCTCTCTCTTTCTTTTTATTTGGCCTATGAAACCTTTACTCCTAAACTTGCTGCTGGTTTGTGTCTGTGTCTTTAATCTTGGTGCTAGGCAACAAACCCTGGGTATTGATCCCAGACAAGGACGCTGCTTCAGCAGTGTTGTGCATTGTTAAGCCTAGTGCTAGCCTCTACTAGCTTCTTACACGTGGTCTCCCTGTTGCTTGATTTTTCATGCTGACATTGCACTTTACCAGCTTGGGCATGCACTATTTTTATTATCTTGGCACTAAATATTTTCTTCATGTTTATTATGATGTTTTCCAACCCAAGCTTTTGATGGATGCTTTTAGATTTCCACGAGTTAATTTTTGGTCATCCTTTTTGTTATTGGTTTCTAATTTTACAGCATTGTGTTCAGAGCATGAACTCTCCATATATAGTATGGATTTTCTTGGTATCTTTGAGATTTTTTATCTATCGAGAAGCTGGACTCTATGGTTTGTTTTTAATATTACATAGGTGTGTGAGAAAAATGTGGTTTTGCTGACGATTTGGTACGTTTGCCCAGACATTCATTGACTCACCCTTGTTAGTTGTGTTTAAATTGTTCGGGTCTTCCTATTTTCTTGTTGCTTGATTTTTTAATTACTGAGAGATGTGTTAAAATCTATAATTATGGTTGTAATCTTGTCAGTTTCTTCTTTTTTTTTTTTGAGACAGAGTCTTGCTCTGTCACCAGGCTGGAGTACAGTGGCATGGTCTTGGCTCACTGCAACCTCCGCCTCCTGGGTTCAAGCGATTCTCCTGCCTCAGCCTCCTGAGTAGCTGGGATTACAGGTGCACACCACCACACCCAGCTAATTTTTGTACTTTTAGTAGAGACAGACAGAGTTTCACCACATTGGCCAGGATGGTCTCCATCTCTTGACCTCATGATCTGCCCACCTTGGCCTCCCAAAGTGTTGAGATTACACCATGCCACCATGCCCAGCTAGTTTCTTCTTGTGCTTCTGTTGACTTTTGCTTTGTGTATTTGAAGGGCATGTTATTAGGGATATTTAAGTTTATCCTTCTTATATTTTCATGTGCAGTTATTTCTTTTATCATTTTCTTGGAGAAACTGTTTCTAATAAGGCTTTCTTTACCTTTTATCTGGTTTGTTTGTTTGTTTGTTTGTTTTTCTAGTGCTTATATCATCTTGCCTCCTTAGAGTTCTCATGTGCTGGTTGAGCCCCACCTTTCACTTTCAACTTTTTTTTTTTTAATTAGGTTTTCAGAATTTTTCTTAAAATGCAGCCTAAGTTCCTTATAGATGCTGGATATTAGATCTTTATTAGATGCATAGTTTGCACATATTTTCTCCCATTCTGTAGGTTGTCTGTTTACTCTGTTGATACTTTATTTTGCTGTGCAGAAGCTCTAAAGTTTAAATAGATCCCACTTGTCAATTTTTGCTTTTGTTGCAATTGCTTTTCGTGTCTTTGTCATGAAATCTTTGCCAGTTACTGTGTCTAGGATGATATTGCCTAGGTTGTCTTCCAGGGTTTTTATAGTTTTGGGTTTTACATTTAAGTCTGTAATCCATCTTGAGTTGATTTTTGTATATGGTGTGAGGAAGGGGTCCAGTTTCAACCTTCTGCGTGTATAGCCAGTTATCCCAGCACCATTTATTGAACAGGGAGCCCTTTCCCCATTGCTTGTTTTTGTCGGCTTTGTTGAATATCAGATGGTCATAAGTATGTGGCTTTATCATCAATACTGTGCTATTTTGAGCTAAATGATGAGAACTCATGAACACAAAGAAGGGAACAACAGACACTGGGGTCTACTTGAGGGTGGAGGATGGGAGGAGGGAGAGGAGCAGAAAACATAGCTGTTGGTACCAGGCTAAGTATCTGGGTGATGACATAATCTGTACAACAAACCCCTGTGCCACAACTTTACCTAATAACAAACTTGCACATGTACCCCTGAACCTGAAATAAAAGTGAAATAATAACAATAATGATAATAATGAAATCCAGCCTAATATTATCTCTCTTTTCCTTGTTGAGTTTAGTCTGTTTGCAGTTATGATTATTCATATATTTGGTATCATTTTGTGCTTCCTCTTCCACATTTTTTATTTCTTCGCTTTCTACTAATCCTGAATTTTCTTTGGTTCTTTATTTCTTCTTCCTCACCCTCTATTGGATTGAACACATTTTTAAAAAGTTTACCTTTTCTCTTGAAAGGTTTGGTCATTACATATTGTTTCTATTCTGTTCAGTTTTTCACTTTTTTTTTTTTTGACACGGAGTCTCACTGTGTTGCCCAGGCTGGAGTGCAGTGGCGCTATCTTGGCTCACTGCAAGCTCCGCCTCCCAAGAGAATGGTTCACGCCATTCTCTTGCCTCAGCCTCCCAAGTCGCTGGGACTACAGGCACCTGCCACCATGCCTGGCTAATTTTTTTTGTATTTTCAGTAGAGACGGGGTTTCACTGTGTTAGCCAGGATGGTCTCGATCTCCTGACCTCGTGATCAGCCCGCCTCGGCCTCCCAAAGTACTGGGATTACAGGTGTGAGCCACAGAACCTGGCCCAGTTTTTTACTCTTTAGCCTATGTATACTAGCAACTGCTGTCAGGTGTTGTCAGTGCCATTATCTTCTCTGTCTTTTCGTTAAACTAAGCCTACATTTTCTTCTTTTTATGCTGAAAGTACCTCATGTAACACCAGCATTCAGTAGATGATCTGTAAATATCTGTTGAATGCCTGCTCAATTATTAGGGTGAATTACTATTTTAAAATACGTATTACAGCTTTGTTTCTTTTCTTTTCTTTTTTTTTTTTTTTTTCTTGAGATGGAGTCTCACTCTGTCTCCCAGGCTGGAGTGCAGTGATGCAATCTTGGCTCACTGTAACTTTCACCTCCCGAGTTGAAGTGATTTCTCCGCCTCAGTCTCCCAAGTAGCTGGGATTACAGGCACACACCACCATGCCTGGCTAAATTTTTGTATTTTTATAGAGACGGATTTCACCATGTTGGCCAGGCTAGTCTCAAATTTTCCTGACCTCAGATGATCTGCCCGCCTTGGCCTCCCAAAGTACTGGGATTACAGGTGTGAGCCACTGCACCTGGCCTTGAATTATTATTAGTGTGTTATTACTGAACTTAGTAAGCCTTTATTTTCTGTTTGCAAATGAAGGATGACTTGTAGGCACATCTATCCTTCATGAAATTTGTCTTAATATTTTATTATTCTTGACCTAGAAGAAGGATGGAGATCATTGTTTATCACAATGTGTTTAGGTGATGTTCTGTGCCAAATGGTTCTGTAGATGGAGTGCAGTTCGGTTCCACTTAGTGAGAATTGCTTCTGATAGCAGCACAGGAAAAGAGGAGCGAGTCAGAGTCAGGGCGGGACTCGACACCCTGTGGGAGCTCACCCACATCGTCATCGCAGGAGCCTACTCAGTGTAGTTTAGCGGTTGATAATTGGCAGATAAAGAACTCACCTTAACTTTAAGTGCTTCGTTGAGGGGCGTCTTTCAGATGATTTATTGAATATGGCTTATGGTCTATACTCTGAACATGAATTTTGGTGTGTTACTATCTTGGTCTTTTGATCTTTGACCATTTGGTACTTGTGTAACTCTTAGTGGCATTACACATAAAGAGAACCCACATCAATAATTCTCTAGGTCAAAATATACCCTCATTAACTACTTTATTTAGAAGTTTTTGGAGTCCAATTCTGAAATTGTTACAAATAAGAAAAAAACTTTGTGTTAATATCTTACTTGAGAATCAGCTATTATGAGATATCATTAGCATAACGCTTATTAACTCAACCTTTGAAAGTACATCTTGATTTCCGCCTTACAATTATAGGGTTCATCGTTTACAACCCAACAGCCTCAGGCTTATAACCTCTTCCTGACCACGGCCATTGGTGATGGGATGAGACTGTGGGACCTGAGAACCCTGAGGTAAGGCTGTCCTGTGCCCTGCACTGTGGGGGTGGGGAGCTCAAGAGATGTAAGCCCAATCTGATTTCTTTTCCAAATGTGATGAGGTTGTGGTTAATCTGTGTACACTGATTATTCTAAGACTGATTTATGCACAGAAAAGGTAGCTCTAACTTTGGAAGGGTGAAGCACTAGGTGCTGGTCTCTCTGCTATATATGGCTTAGGAGAGTAATCCCAGGCCCCTCCTGTGGGTCAGCGATGTTGAGGGAGACATTGGAATCTCCTAAACCACAGTTACCATCTGGTGTGATTACTGCTCTCTCTCCCAAGTGTGTTCCCATCTCCTTTGGGTGCCACCCACGAGGCGCCGAGCACCCCTGTAATGCAGGGCCAGCGGTGCCTGACTCTCCTTTTCCTACCTCCTCAGGTCACAGGTGGGAGAGCATTTCCTTAGATATACTATCGTTAAGTAAATTACTTCTCATTTCACGTCATGTATATTTTAGATGCTTTGGTAGACTTTGAAAATACGTTTTATAAAAGTTAGAAAGCACCTTAGTTTTACAGCAAAATATTTACAAATCTTTTAGGATAGGAATTCTTGATATAACTATGTTTGTTGTTTATTTTTGAATGCAATAGTAAAACTTATAGGCAGGTTTGTTGACTATTATTATTTCAGATTCGTGATGAGAATCTGTATGAGCAATCATGTTGCACGTGAGGACTTCTTAACCAATGACTGACCTTATCACATTGCTGGTGGCATAAGATTATGATGGAGCTGAAAAATTCTTTTTGTTTAGTATTTGCTTTATTACTTTTTATTATGATTTTAGAGTGCATTCCTTCTACTTATAAAAAAAATTAACTATAAAGCAGTCTCAGGCAGGTCCTGCAGGAGGTGTCCTGAAGAAGACATTGCTTTTTAAATTTTATTTTAGACAGTCTCACTCTGTCACCCAGGCTGGAGTGCAGTGTTACATGATCTCAGCTCACTGCAACCTCCCCATCCCAGCACCCTACCCCCGAGCTCAAGGGATTGTCTTGTCTAACCCTCCTGAGCTGCTGGGTTTACAGGCAGAAATGCCACCATGCCCAGCTCATTTTTTGTTTGTTTGATTTTTTTGAGATGGAGTCTTGCTCTGTCACCCAGGTTGGAGTGCAGTGGCATAATCTCAGCTCACTGCAACCTCTGCCTCCCGGGTTCAAGCCATTCTCGTGCCTCAGCCTCCCATGTAGCTGGGACTATAGGCATGCACCATAACACCCAGCTAACTTTTGTATTTTTAGTAGAGACGGGTTTTCACCATGTTGGCTAGGTTGGTCTTGAACTCCTGACCTCAAGTGATCCACCCGCCTCAGCCTCCCAAATTGCTGGGATTACAGGTGTGAGCCACTGCACCCAGCCAAAACATTGTTATCCCAGGGAGATGACAGCTCCATGCATGTCACTGCCCCTGAAGACCTTCCAGTGGGACAAGATGTGGAGGGGAAGACAGTGATGTTGATGATCCTGACTCCATGCAGGCCTAGGCTAATGTGTGTGTTTATGTCTTAGTTTTTAACAAAAATGTTTAAAAAGTAAAAAAAGTTCAAAATAGAAAAAAGCATGTAGAATAAGAATATAAAGAAATAAAATATTTTTGTACAGCTGTACAATGCATTTGTGTTTTAAGCTAAGTGATACTAGCTTTGGGAGGCAGAGGTAGGTGGATCACCTGAGGTCAGGAGTTCGAGACCAGCCTGGGCAACATGATGAAACCCCTCTCTACTAAAAATACAATAATTATCCAGGTGTGGTGGTGTGCACCTGTAATCCCATCTACCCAGGAGGATGAGTCAGTAGAATCACATGAACCTGGGAGGCAGAGGTTGCAGTGAGCCAAAATTGCACCACTGCACTCCAGCCTGGCTGACAGAGTGAGACTCTGTCTCCAAAAAAAAAAACAGTTTATAAAGTAAAAAAGTTACAGTAAACTAATGTTAATTTATTACTGAGGAAATAAAAAATTTTTAAAATAAATTTGGTGTAGCCTAAGTGTCCAGTGTTTATAATGTCTATAGCAGTTATGGTCATGCCCTTGACCTTCACATTCACTCACCTCTTGCTCAGTGACTTGCTCGGAGCAACTTCCAGTCCTGCAAGCTCCATTCATGGCAAGGACCCTATACAGGTGCACCCTTTTTAATCTTTTATGTTTTTTTTTTTTTTTTTTATCTCAATAGCTTTTGGGGTACAAGTGGCTTTTGGTTACATGAATGAATTGTATAGTAGTGAAGTCTAAGGTTTTAGTGCACCTGCCACCTGAGTCTATACATTGTACCGAATATGTCAATTTTTTATTCCTCACCCACCTCCCACCCTCCCCTTTGTGAGTCTCCAAAGTCAATCATGCCACTCTGTATGCCTTTGTGTACTCATGCTTAGCTCTCACGTATAAGTAAGAACATAAGATATTAGGTTTTTCATTTCTGAGTTACTTCACTTAAAATAATGGCCTCCAGCTCCACCTAAGGTGCTGTAAAAGACGTTCTTCTGTTCTTTTTTATGGCTGAGTAGTAGTATTTCATGGTGTCTATATACCACTTTTTCTTATTTCACTCATTGGTTGATATGGTTTGGCTGTGTCCCCACCCAAATCTCATCTAGAATTGTACTCCTGTAATTCCCACGTGTTGTGGGAGGGACCCAGTGGGAGATAATTAAATCATGGGGGCAGTTTCCCCCATACTGTTCTGGTGGTAGTGAATAAGTCTCATGAGATCTGACGGTTTTGTCAGGGGTTTCTGCGTTTGTGTCTTCCTCATTCTCTCTTTGCCTGCTGCCATCCATGTAAGACGGGATTTGCCCCTTCTTGCCTTCCACCATGATTGTGAGGCTTCCCCAGCCACATGGAACTGTAGTCCAGTTAAATCTCTTTCTTTTGTAAATTGCCCAGTCTCGGGTATGTCTTTATCAGCAGCACAAAAACAGACTAATACAGTTAATCGGTACCAGTAGAGTGGGATACCGCTGAGAAGATACCCAAAAATGTGGAAGCGACTTTGGAACTGGGTAACAGACAGAAGCTGGAACAGTTGGGAGGGCTCAGAGGACAGGGAAATGTGGGAAAGTTTGGAAGTTCTTAGAGACTTGTTGAATGGCTTTGCCCAAAATGCTGATAGCGATACAGACAATAAGGTCCAGGCTGAGGTGGTCTCAGACAGAGATGAGGGACTTGTTAGGAACTGGAGCAAAGGTGACTTTTGTTATGTTTTAGGAAAGAGACTGATGGCATTTTGCCCTTGCCCTAGAGATTTGTGGAACTTTGAACTTGAGAGAGATGTTTTAGGTTATCTAGTGGAAGAAATTTCTTAGCAGCAAAATGTTTAAGAGGTGACTCGGGTGCTGTTAAAGGCATTCAGTTTTAAAAGAGAAACGGCATAAAAGTTTGAAAAATTTTCAGCCTGACAATGCAATAGAAAAGAAAAATCCCATTTTCTGAGGAGAAATTCAAACTGGCTACAGAAATTTGCATACGTAATGAGGAGCCAAATGTTAATCCCCAAGACAATGGAAAAATGTCTCCAGGACATGTCAGAGGTGCTCATGGCAGCCCTTCCCATCACAGACCCAGAGGTCTGAGAGGAAAAAGTGGTTTCATGGGTCTGGCCCAGGATCCCTGAGCTGTATGCAGCCTAGGGACTTGGTGCCCTGTGTCCCAGCCGCTCCAGCCATGGCTGAAAGGGGCCAACGGAGAGCTCAGGCCGTGGCTTCAGAGGGTGCAAGCCCCAAGCCTTGGCAGCTTCCGTGTGGTGTTGAGCCTGCAGGTGCACAGAAGTCAAGAATTGAGGTTTGGGAACCTCTGCCTAGATTTCAGAAGATGTATGGAAATGCCTGGATGCCCAGGCAGATGTTTTCTGCAGGGATGGGACTCCCTTGGAGAACCTCTGCTAGGCCAGTGCAAAGGGAAAATGTGGGGTCAGAGCCCCCACACAGAGTCCCTACTGGGGCACTGCCGAGTGGAGCTGTGAGAAGAGGGCCAAAGTCCTCCAAACCCCAGAATGGTAGATCCACCGACAGCTTGCACTGTGTGCCTGGAAAACCTGCAGACACTCAACACCAGCCTGTGAAAGCAGCTTGGATGGAGGTCATACTCCACAAAGCCACAGGGACAAAGCTGCCCACAATCATGGAACCCAGCTCTTACATCAGTGTGGCCTGGATGTGAGACTTGGGGTCAAAGGAGATAATTTTAGAGCTTTAAGATTTGACTGCCCCACTGGATTTCAGACTTGCATGGGGCCTCTAGCCCCTTCGTTTTGGCCAGTTTCTCCTGTTTAGAACAGCTGTATTTACCCAATACCTGTACCCCCATTGTATCTAGAAAGTAACTAGCTTGCTTTTGATTTTACGGGCTCATAGACAGAAGGGACTTGGCTTGTCTCAGATGAGACTTTGGACTGTACACTTTTGGGTTAATGCTGACATGAGTTAAGACGTTGGGGGACTGTTGGGAAGGCATGGTTGGTTTTGAAATGTGAGGACATGAGATTTGGAGGGCCATGGGTGGAATGATATGGTTTGGCTGTGTCCCCACCCAAATCTCATCTTGAATTGAACTCCCATAATTCCCATGTGTTGTGGGAGCGACCTGGTTGGAAATAACTGAATCATGTGGGCAGTTTCCCCCATACTGTTCTTGTGGTAGTGAATAAGTCTCATGAGATCTGACAGTTTTATCAGGGGTTTCTTCCTCCTTCTGTCTTTGCTTGCTGCCATTCATGTAAGATGAGACTTGCCCCTCCTTGCCTTCCGCCATGATGGTGAGGCTTCCCCAGGCACGTGGATCTGTAAGTCCAATTAAACCTCTTTTTTTTTTTTGTAAATTGCCCAGTCTAGGGTATATCTTTATCAGCAGCATGAAAATGGACTAATACATTGGTCGATGGGCACTTAGATTGGTTCCATATCTTTGCAATTGTGAATTGTACTGTAATAAACATACACACACAGTGTCTTTGGGATATAATGACT